AATTTTTGCATCTAGGTTCATCAGAGATATTGGTCTGTAGTTTTCTTTCTTTGAGGTATCTTTGTCTGGTTTCGGAATCAGGGTGATGTTGGCCTCACAGAATGAATTTGGCAGACCTCCCTCTTTTTCTATTTCCTGAAATAACTTGAAAAGTATTGGTATTAATTCTTCCTTAAAGGTTTTGTAAAACTCCGCTGTATACCCATCTGGTCCTGGGCTTTTCTTGGTTGGAAGTCTTTTGATTGCTTCTTCTATTTCATCTATTGATATTGGTCTGTTTAAGTTGTGAGTATCCTCCTGACTCAGTCTGGGCAAATCATATGACTTAAGGAATTTATCGATGTCTTCACTATCTTCTATTTTATTGGAATATTGGTTTTCAAAATAATTTCTAATTGTCTTCTGTATTTCTGTAGCGTCTGTTGTGATATTACCTTTTTCATCCCGTATGCTAGTAATTTGAGTTCTCTCTCTTCTTCTCTTCTTTAGCATGGCTAAGGGTCTGTCGATCTTATTTATTTTTTCAAAGAACCAACTTTTAGTTTTGTTAATTTTTTCAATAGTTTCTTTTGTTTCAATTTCGTTGATTTCCGCTCTGATTTTAATTATTTCTTGCCTTCTGCTACATTTGCTGTTGTTTTGCTCTTCCTTTTCTAGGGCTTTGAGATGAAGTGTGAGCTCATTTATTTGTTGGTTTTTCCTTTTTTTGAGGAATGACCTCCAGGCGATGAATTTCCCTCTTAAAACTGCTTTCATTGTGTCCCATAGATTCCGATATGTTGTGTCTGTATTTTCATTTATCTCTAAGAATGTTTTGATTTCCTCCTTTATGTCTTCTGTAACCCATTGATCATTCAGTAACATATTGTTCATTTTCCATGTGATGTAGGATTTTTCCTTCCTTCTTTTATCATTGATTTCCAGTTTCATTCCATTATGATCAGATAAAATGCATGGTATTATCTCCACCCCTGTATATTTACTGAGGGTTGCCCTATGGCATAATATATGGTCTATTTTTGAGAAAGATCCATGTGCTGCTGAGAAAAAAGTATATCCACTTGATGATGGTTGATATATTCTATATATGTCAGTTAAGTCTAGGTTGTTGATTGTGATATTGAGTTCTATCATTTCTTTATTCAACTTTTGTTTGGAGGATCTGTCCAATGGTGAGAGAGGTGTGTTTAAGTCACCCATAATTATTGTGTTGTGGTCTATTTGATTCTTGAACTTGAGGAGAATTTGTTTTATGAACGTTGCAGCACCATTATTTGGTGCATAAATATTGATAATTGTTATGTCTTGTTGGTGAATGGTTCCTTTTAACAGTATATAATGTCCTTCCTTATCCCTTTTTATTAACTTAGTCTTGAAGTCAATTTTATTCGATATGAGGATGGCCACCCCTGCTTGCTTACGAGGACCGTGTGCGTGGTATATTTTTTCCCAACCTTTCACCTTAAGCCTGTGTATGTCTTTTCCAATCAGATGTGTCTCCTGGAGGCAGCATATTGTTGGATTTGTTTTTTTAATCCATGTTACCAGTCTATGTCGCTTTATTGGAGAGTTTAAGCCATTAATGTTTAGAGTTACTATTGATATATGGTTTGTACTTCCAGCCGTGTTTGATTATTTATGTTCTTTTTTTTTTTTTAATTTAGTTTGTTTCTCCATGGTTAGCTTTCCCCCTGCCCTCGGTCTTTATAGAGGCACTTCCCACTGATGGTTTTGGTTATTGTTTTTCATTTCTTTCTCGTGTAGTGTTTTGCTCAAGATGCTTTGCAATGCTGGTTTTCTGGCTGCAAATTCTTTTATCTTTTGTTTATCATGAAAGATTTTTATTTCATTGTCATACCTGAAGCTTAATTTTGCTGGATACAGAATTCTTGGTTGGCATCCATTGTCTTTCAGTGTTTGAAATACGTTGTTCCAGGATCTTCTCGCTTTCAGCGTCTGTGATGAAAAATCCGTTGTTAACCTTATTGGTTTACCCCCTGAATGTAATCTGCCTCCTTTCTCTTGTAGCTTTTAATATTTTCTCTTTGTTCTGTATATTGGATATCTTCATAACAATGTGTCTTGGCGTTGGTCTACTGTGATTTTGTGTGCTCGGTGTCCGGTAAGCATTTACAATTTGTATATCCATTTCCTTTTTTATTTCTGGAAAGTTTTCTGTAATTATTTCATTCAGGAGGTTACTCATTCCCTTGGTTTGAATCTCTGTACCTTCTTCTATCCCGATGACTCGTAGGTTTGGTTTTTTTATGTTATCCCATATCTCTTGGATGTGTTTCTCGTGATTTTTAACCAGCCTTTCTGAGTTGGCTAGGCTCTTTTCAAGATGATATATTTTGTCTTCATTATCTGACGTTCTTGCTTCTACTTGCTGCACTCTGTTAGTGATACTCTCAATTGAGTTTTTAATTTGGTTTATCGTTTCCTTCATTTCTAGAATTATTGTTTGATTTTTTTTTATAATCTCTATCTCCTGATAAAGATGCTTAAGAACACATTTTCAAAGTGTTCTTTCACTGTTTGGATTTGCTGTCTCGTATCCTCTTTAAGGTTCCATTCCATCTGTCTAAGGTATTCCTTGAGTTCTTTATATGACCATTTTTCTGCTGACTCTAGGTCCTCCTGAATATTTAGGCTGTCCTTCATTGTTTGTACTCCTTTTCTTCCTTGCTTTTTTATGCTGCTCATGTTACTTCTTGTTCTGTTTGACTGCTGAGTTACTGTTTACTCTTATAAATTTATTTGATGCTTGGGAGGAAAGATATTAGAAGGGAAGGGAAGAAGTCACTAAAGAGAATGAGAGTAGGCAGGTAGAATTCAAGGAAGGGGGAATAAGAAAATTGAAAAGAAATGAAAAGACAAAAGAGACAAAAACAAAAAAAAATTAGAAAATAAAGAAAGAAGGAAAAGAAAAATTTTTTTTACAAAAATAATGATAATAAAAAATGAAAATTAAAATTTAAAAAAAAATAATAAAATAAAAAAATTAAAAAAAATTAAAAACATTGAAAAAAAAGTTAAAGAACAACAACAAATAAAAATTGAAAATGAAAGAAAAAGAAGAAAAAAAAAAGAAAAAGAAAAAAATGATAATAATAATAATAATAATAATAATAATAATAATAAATGCAGTCCTAGAGTTCGATTAACTTCTCTTCCAGTAGGTGGAGCTGTGCCCACTGGGCCAAGCTTCTCCTCTCAATAGGTGGGAACCATTCACTGTGCAGCAGCTCTTTCTCCCAGACTGGGCGGGTCTCCAAACCTGAGTGTCTAGGGCCGTCTCTTGTGTTTCCTGAAGCCAGGCCGCGCTCACCTGTGACGCTCACCACAATACTGGCTACACACAGAGCTTGGGGCTGAGAACCCCCAGCGAATTTGCTTGCCCTCCGGTAGCCACGCCCCCGGTAGCTGGTGCAAGAGACCTCAGTTGTCAGCACTGGTTGGAGCGGTAGCCGGGAATTGCGCGTCGCGAGTCCCGCACCACTCCTGATTCCCTGGGTCTGGCTATTGCGCTCACAGGAGAGCTGGGAGGGGCCCTTAAGGTTTCCCCGCTGTGTGGAGAGAGATGGCTAGGGGATTACACACCTGTCGCGCTGGTTTCAATGCAGTTATCTCCTCCGCCCGTTATGTCAGTTCTCTGCCAAGGTGGTATCCCATGCAAATGGTGACCGTTCGTTCCCTTTGCCCGGTGACCAATGCAACGGATGGGTCCTGACTGTCTCTCCCAATCCCCGTTTCAATCCTGTGGCCACTGCCTATGAAGGCTCGGTTGTCTTTTACCTCTGTAAGTTCATAAGGGCCGACCAGTTATTTCAGCGGGATCGTTAGTGCTGAGTCATGAGAAGCAGGTGAACCGGAGCTTGAATGCAGCCGATCCGGGCTCGGTGTGTGTGTTCTGAGGGGCCCAGACTGTACGCCCCAGATCCACGTCAGCTCAGCATTGCCTAGTGATCCTGAGCAAACAGCATTTAGACAGTTTATGGCTCCCTATGCCCGCGCAGTTGAAGATGTCAGAAACTTGATCTCTCCTCGCCCGCCACCATGTTAGATCTCCTCAATGATATTCATGTTACCCTTACAGCTTCCTGGCATAAGCAAGTTCTTGGGATTATACAAACTGCAGCTTCTGTTTCCAGTCCAGATTTCTAGAAATGAAACCCTGCCGCCGTCGCCTCTGCCTCTGGGCCGCGCTCACGGGCGCCACGCTCGTCTGCGACCATAGCGGAGCCGCTGCGGCCTCCACCGCTCCTCAGCCCGGTGCCCGGCCCCTGGGGCCCAAGCGGCTGCCGCCATGGCTCTCCGGCCCCCTCCTCCAGAGCACGGGTCCCTTCGCAGGGGGATGCAGAACGACCCCAGAGCTGGCTCTGCCCGAAGGTGCAGCGGCGAACAGGCGACCAAGGCGCTCGAGGCCGCGGTCCAGCCTTCGGAGGACAGGGCTCGGCACGCAGCCCAGCTCCAACCTCTAGATGCGGCTGCCGGACAATGTAGACAGAGCCATCAAGACAGCCAGCAGAAAGCAAATGGCGGCTCCCGCGTAGTGGATTTTCGGCACAGAAACCACAGCCCAGCCAACAATCCCAATCCACAAACTCTCCCTGTATAAAAAATATTAAAAAAAAAAAAAAAAAGGGCGGGGCGCACTGAGCTTTCTTTGCCTCAGGTACTTACAATCCACTGCTGATTGCACATTCAGCTTCTCTGCCCGGAGCGAAGTGAAAGAGGAAGCAGATGGGAGCAAAGCGCCCGCGGCTCTGAGCAGCCAAGTGTCTCTTTTTCGATGTCTTTGTTCTTCCTGCTGCTTGGCAAGTGGTCCGCTACAGATTAACGGTGAAAGGAGCTCTAACAAGCTGCGCGAAATCTCGATTAAAGCCGCTGCTCTGAGCACCACGCTCAGCACTTCAGCAACCCCCGTACCCAGCGGCCATCTTCCTTGTTTCAGTTTTTACTAAATCAGTTATATGAGATGTTTTTCCTCTTTACAGGTTCAGTTTAACTTGCAGTTTACAAAACCAAATATATCACTAGGAGATGTTCAGTCAGGAGCAACTGTTAATGTGCCTTGCTCAACTGATAAGGAAAAGTAAGTATTTATTGACATAAAATTTATTGTTTGTAGTTTTGAATGAATTTTTAATCAATGATGCCCCCTATTTTATCTGAGGCCTTTTAAGATGCTTGAGTCACTTTGAACTATGACAAGTGCTTTCTCATATGTATTTGCAAGCTGTGGGATAGGCATATAATAGACATAAAAGAGATTTTCTTACACAAAGGAAGATTGCTTTCATATGTATTCTTGGGCATGTACACAGGAATCTTTAATTCCTCTAAAGTCAGTTGTTTTTGTTTTTCTTGTGTGGCTTTGTTTGTCCTGGGTGCTCTTCATTGTTCTGATTTATTGCTTCTAGTATAATCTAAGAAACTAACTGGTTAATCTACTAGAATTACATGGTGAATAAAAGTAAAAAAGTTTGTAAGATTGACCAATAGGTTACCTAAAAAAATTGAGCACCAGTTTGTGGTTTGTGTTTTGCCTGCTCAGAGATTCCTTCCTTATTTTTTAGGTTTCACACAGTACATTTTTGAATCAGTGACGTGTGGCTTAATTAATCAACTCTCCATGCATACTTTTTTCTCTAGATAGTCTTCATGTTTGTTGTTTTTTAAAACAAAATAATTATGGTTCTTTATTTACTTCAGATTTAGTGTTTGTAAAACCTGCTATGAGCTATCCACTATTCTAATATATTGCAAACTCAGTTACTAACATAGTTCACTAAGGGTTCTTTTTTTTTTTAATATATTTTTTTTTAGTTGTTGATAGACCTCTATTTTATTTATTTATATGTGGTGCTGAGACTCAAATCCAGTGCCTCACACATGGCAGGCAAAGTGCACTACCGCTGAGCCATAGCGCCAAACCTCACTAAGGGATCTTATCCCAGTTGTCACCAGGATGAATATTAAAATAGTTAATGAAGATCAGAATTGTGTGAGTTTCTGATAATGTATGTATTTATTATATCTAATTTTACACTTGCTCATAAGGCAGAGCACCTGGAATTCATATTAATGGTAGAAAACCATAATGTTTGTATATTTAATTCATCATTTACACTGAGAGCAACTTTACTAGCAGAAAACATGACAGTCATTCACAATATCAAATATCATCTGACAATAAAATTGAGACTCTTCAGTGATTTTCATTTTTTTGTTTAGAAGTGGTTTGTTGTTTTATTTGTTGTCAGCTAACAAAAAGTGGCAATGAGTATTAAAGAAAAAAATTAAGTTAAAATTGAAAAAATAAACCTAGAAAACTTTATTTTCTACACATTGGGAAAAGACCATCATTTAATTTTAAGGATTCATTATTTTGTAAGATCCTTTAAATTCTGACTAAAAGTATACTACTGGGGCAATTGTTAATACTATCAAAATTTTAGAAGGAATGCATGGTAGAAAGGGGCAAAATACCAAAATACCCCCCCCCCCCCCTTTTTTTTTTTAAATTTCTCTACCACTGGCCTTGAAGTGCTTTTGGTTAAAGGAAAACACAATCTTAATTTATTTTAAATAGCATGAGATAGTAAGTAATTAAATGATTCTCAAGGCATGTACATATTTATTTTATTTCTAATGTCTGTCACTTGTGTGCTTTTACAAAATTTTATGGTGCTCTTAGGATTATTTTTATTTTGCTCACAGTTCTTATTCCAGCTCTTAGTTTATTATAATTTACTCATTAGGAACAGGGATACTTTGATTATATACAGACAAATTATATTTTTTAAGAAACAGTAAAGAATGTATTTTGAACCATAGCCATAAATTACAACTCAGTTACACATTTTGTGTGTGTGTGATGCTAGATATTAAATCCAGGGTTTTCCACAGGCTAGCAAGTCTCTACCACTGAGCTATAACCCCAGCCCAGTTATATATAGTACAGGCTAAGTATCCAAAATGCTTGGAAACTGAAGTTTTCTAATTTCAGTATTTTGGGGGTTTTGAAATATTTTCTATACACAATGAGGTATCTTGGGGATAGGACCCAATGTAAATACAGAATTCATTGTTTCTTAATTTATAATGGCCTGAAGGTAATTCTATGTGGCATTTTTAGTCTGTTTTGACTGTGACTCATCACAGGAAGTTAGAATTTTTCATTGGTAACATCATGTCAGTGCTCAAAAATTTTCAAATTTTGAAACTCTTCAGAGTTTTGGATTAGGGATGCTAAACTTGTTTGTGTAGATACATTAGGCAAACCTTAAAAATTAACTAATAAAGAAAAAAATCAGACTTTGAAAAAATAATATATGTTTTTTTTAAGTGGTGAAAATTTAGGATTGGAATCTAAATACTTGAAGAAAAGAGAAGATAGCATTCCTTTACGTGGACTAAGCCAGAATCTGTTTAGTAATTCAGGTGAGAAAAGACATTTCTGGACTGAATTTTTTGTAGTGTGTATACATAAAGACTAAAGTGATAATCTTTGTTGTTTCATTTGCAGATCATCAGAAAGATGGCAGTCTAGGAGTGATGCAGACATCTTCCAAACCTGCAGTGCTCCCCTCTACATCTTCAGCCTATTTTCCTGGGCAGTTACCAAACAGTTAATTCTAGCATTGTCTTTTTACTTTCTATTGACATTTCAGAAACTCAGGTGTTTTAAAAATATCCTAACAGGCAGAAGTCAAATCCTAACCAGGCAAGTTTCAGATTTTACTTGAGCTATCTACCATTAGACTATTTAGATCCTTAATTCTACTACTGGATTTACAGCACACAGTTAAAAAAGAAATAAATTTGTATTCAGGGATTGGTAAAGATGCTGAGTAAAAGATATTTTGGTCTGTAAACATGTTGTTTTACAAAATAACAGGATGAATTTTAAACTAATTATTAGATTTCAGTTCTAAGGGGAGAGATGATCCTTATAGAGGATATTCTAATCATTTAGAAGGTCTGAGTAAATTGCAGCCTGCACAAGAAAATAATACTATGAAAGAAACCAAAGAATGCTAATAATTCAGTTTATTGTTTTCATTGATAAAATGTTTTAAGTTTGCCACCTGAGGATTATGAGGAAAAATGATTTTCTCTTAAGATTATCTCTATTATTGATATTGACATTAAGGGAAAAGTCCTAAAGCTACCTTGAGTGAGTGAAATGAATTAAACCTTCATAGCAAGCAAATATGAGTATTTTTTCTTGTAACATTTAAGTTAGCAGTTAAGTCTGTTAAATAACTTTTGATGTGCTTATTAGGCCAGGTGTGGTGGCACATGCCTGCATTCCCAGCTACTCCGGAGGCTGAGGCAGGAAGATCACAAGTTCGAGGCCAGCATGGGCAATTTGGTGAGACCCTGTGTCAAAAAAAAAATAAAAGGGCTAGGAAGTAGCTTGGTGGCAAAAGGCTTGCCTATGCATAAGGCTCTGGGTTTAATCCCCAGCACATTAGAAAAATAAATAATTTGGATAATATTTTTACATGACCAAATTAGTATATGGTGCTTTATGCTGGAGCTGAAACATTTATAGGATTTTAGTGTTTTCTGTAAGTTTATACCCATCCTATTCTTCTCCTTAATTGGGAGTTTTATTGTTATGCAGTTAAATCTGTATCAGTGGGATTTGGTTTCAATAGCTCCATACAAAATCTTTACTAGAAGTGCATCATGGATATTCATTGTCCTTGTTTCTAAAATACCAAAACATGGGTTCCTTTTAATGTTTACTTGACAAAGTAGACAAAACTGTTAAAACTTTCTTCTCTTCCCCATTACTAAAAGTTTCAGGTTAAGAACAATTCCTATGGAAAAAAATTAGGTGATTAAAAAAAATTCACCCAGGATCATAGGGCCCATTATCTTCTTGTTGACAACCATCCAATACAGAGTACATTCTCAAAAATAATCTAAATTTGTTTGCAAATTTTGAAACTCATTGCTTGTGATAGTTTAAAAATTATTTTCAAGTTCTTTTTTACACAACTGAGCAAAGAGACATTTTAAAATAATGACATACCTATATCACTGGGTTCATAAGTATTGTTGCTAAATATTTTAAAAATACGTATACTTTGAAATTGCTGGCAATTGTCTTTAAGTCAGGGATCTAAACAGAATATTGAGTAACTAGTATTAGGTAGCAACTTTTTTCTCCCTCTATTAGATATACTATATTAGTAAGAATACTCAAGTTACAATAACTTGAAAGCACTTATTATTCTGGAAAGAAGTCTTTTGGTAACATAGGAATCTGCTTTGTTGTAAATACTATGTAATATATATAAAAAACCACTGTGACAGGGTTTGGATGGAATATATGACCCACAGGTAGCGTTTGTTTTTTAATATGTCTTTTTCCATATACATAAATTGAAATTGAATTTCTAAGATAGGATAGAGATCATTCTGACATTAACTTACTAAAGACTTGTTTGTATTAAATGTATATATGTAGACTTCTGAGTGCTAATTTTTTGTTCTACCTCTTTTATTTGAAATTTTTTTCCAGTATAAAATTGTACATGTGTTAATAATCCAAAGGTTACATTTAATGTTATTTCTATAAAACTGAGCTTTGTTAATAAAGTATTAAAATTACTTTGGGAGGGCTGAGACTGTGGCTTAGTGGTAGAGTGCTCGCCTAGCATGTGTGAGGCACTGGGTTCGATCCTCAGCATTACGTAAAAATAAAATAATAAAATAAAATTACTTTGGGAGTATGATATGTAAAAGGCATGTAGAAAAAGAAACAGAATTTGATCTGTTTGGAAAATCAAAGTACACTTGCATTGTATAGTGAATGAAAAGGAATGATTCAGAGAAAGGTTAAATCTTTGACTTGTTAGTATAAAAGTGATCATGGTAACAAAGCTAAAACCGGCTGTATCACAGATCAAGACTTTTTTAAAAAAAATCATTAAAATATTTAATTTTATTAACAGAATATTTACATTTTTAAGACCTTATTTAACCATAGTGAATGTTCCAGGTTTAAAAAGCATTAGGCAATAACCACACACAAGATGAAAACAGTGTAAACTATACAATACTTTATGTACAATTTTTACAAAGTAACACTTTTTTAAATAATATAACTGGACACAAAAATATACACTTTAGAGAAATTCACATCAGTAATTGTATAAAGCTCTCTTCTAGGGTCCTGAAAATTTAGGACAAACATTAGCTCTGTAAATAAAGTGTTACTGTGACAGTCCTGAAAGGCCACTATATATATTTATCTACATATAGATATCACATTGACATTTTCAAGGCTACCAGCTTTGCTATATAATTTTAGATTATGTATTCAAGTGTTGAGGTTTTTATGATTATGCAAACATTAAAAGAATAGTGGTATAAGAAGAAGCTGGGGAACAAATCTGAGCCAGCATTTTTAGAATTACAGGCTCTAACCACCCCAATTTAAATTCTAAATGGCTGATATTTTTTCACTTCAAAAACAGTAGTGAATATGCTTAAAATAAAATTATTGCAAACAAGCTTGAAACATGATTCAGATTTTAGTACAATTTTAAGTTTTTTTTTTTAAATGCAAACAGTTCATTTATCATTTCTTTATTTTAGTGCATCTGCATTAAGGCTTTGAATTATTTGACCCAAGATTTTACAATATTAAAATCTGACTCGATTTTACAATGTTAAAATGAACAGGTCCACAACCATACTATCTACTCTGAGAGTCAGCATAAATAGAGTTAAAGCTCAACACCTTAAGGAAATGGTAGCAGAGACATATGCTAATATCTAAGAAGTTACATATATAGTTTTTAATTAAAGGATGTATAATAAAACAGTTTAGTGGCAAGAAATTGGTGCTAATAAACAAAAGGTTTCTTTTCAAAAGAAATTGTAACATCTTTGGAAAACTGTCCGGTTCCTTCTTTAGTTCCCATGGAGTTCATGCAGATAATTTCTTAAGACAATCTTAAAGTACACTGCAGATGGAGATGGAATGTACATCCAGGACTACAGGTGAAAACTAAGACCTGGGTGCTGATAGAAAAATCTTCCTGATTTCAGTCATCACACATTTGTGTCCTGGAGTAAAGGTTCTTTGGCCTCTCCTGGCGCTTGTGTACTATGAGGATGGCTGTGACTGCCACAGTGCTTTCTCCAACTGCTGGACCGTAAGCTTAAATTGGTATGTTCTGGAATAAACAAGGCAACAAGCAGAGCCAGCAGTACCGAACAGGCTCCAAAGAGAAAGGGGGGGCCAGGGATTATGGAATTCTGAGGAAGAAAAGAACAATTAGGATTTTTGTACAAATACTCTTGTTCTTCAGAAATTGCTTTTTTTTTTTTTTTTTTTTAAGTAATAACTGCTATCAGTTACAAGCCAATGACTCAATTCTTCATGAAAGCCACAGTTATAAAATGCATTCTGTTTTCCAGAGAAAAGTGGCACTTAAACTCTCACTATAAGATTCTGGGAATAACAACTGGCAAAAAAGCCTATACAAAAATGCCATAATTTTTAGTACAAAATATGAAACAGGTTCCAGAGTCCTCACTTAATTTGTTAGTCCTGGAAAACCATTATCTCAAAAGTACAATTAGGTAGCATATAATATTAATAACTACAGTGGTAGAATCAGTTACCATTTTCTTCGTTTTAGAAAAGTAATTATATGCTCAAATGACTGAAAGTTAGAAAAACACAGGTAATGCTATTACCATGAAAAGAAACAGAATTTTAAATTATCCCCAAATTACATTTATTCTTAGCAAAAACTTACACTGCTGATTGTACTTTTATGTGGCCCACAAGAAAAAAGTAGGCTTGGCTGGTTTTAAGGTTAATGCTGTGAGGAAGCCAGGGAGCCGTTTCTATTGGCTAGAATGATCAATGATGCTTGGCTCTCACGTTTTTTAGGTGTAAGGAAGGAAACTCAAACAAATGAACAAAGACCCATGTAACTGACTTTCTGTTCAGAAGGCTGCTGAATACAGGGAACTGGGATATCACAGAGGACTCAGGAAACATAGCAGCATTGTAGAGAAATGACTAACATGTGCCATTAGATGTAGATTTGGCAAACCAGGATAATTTTTCATTCTTGAAAAAGGTATGCACAGAGAATGGCAGTTGTGATATATTTTTATATCATGGCCTGAAGCGTGTAATGATATTTGAATAGACTCTGTCAATAAAAAGAATTTTGTCATGAAAAGGTACTAAGCTTGGAAATTCAAAGGAGAAAAAAATGTGGGCATTAAGTTATTTTTTTCCTGGAAAAGTAAAGAGTGACTCTTTCACATGTAAAAACTGTATCATGCATTATTGATTACAACTTTTTAAGTGAAAATTTAAGATTAATTTGAAGTGATGTAATAAACAATAAAAGAAATGTAAGCAAAGGAAAAGTTGAAGGTTTGCATAATTTCACAAAGAGAACACAGTCTTTTAGACTTGAGTTTTAAATGTCAAAAGTTATAAGAATCTCAAAAGTTTTTTTTTTTTAAGTTGTAGACGGACACAATATCTTTATTTATTTTTTAATGTGGTGCCTCATATATGCTAGGAGAGGACTCTACCACTGAGCCACGACTCCAGCCCCTCAAAAGCTTTTATGATCAAAAAATACAATCTTTTCTGGCCAAATAAATATGTGAAAGAAGAAATTACCTGTTCAAAGTGGTGCTGAGGACTTGTGTTTGTCCCCAAATCTGTTCCTGTTATTGGCAGTTCTTTAAGTTCCACGTGGAAGATGTAGAAAATAAATCCATAAAGGGCTGGTCCCAGACCATTGCACAATCCTCGAATTCCTGTTATCATTCCTTGAACAACACCTACATTGTTTAAAGAAATCATTTAGTATGCCACCCATTTTTTTCCTCCTGTAAAAACCAGTACAAATATGAAATCAATCTGAAATCAAGGCATTTAATAAACACTAGCAATTACTGCAATGGCATTAAAAACTTGGAAGCCAAAGTACATTTGGTGTGCTATCCTATGCAAACATGGGCTCAGATGCATCCATACATAGAATGAACATAGAAACAACTAGGCAAAACGACTTTATTTCCCTAGAATATAGCCTTCCAAATATCCTTGGTTAAAAACCAGTCATGCATGAGTTCAGAAGTGAGACTGTTAAAACTTGGTATCCAAGCAGCTATTCAAGACCCCTTTATAGATAGATATATGTATTTTACTAAAATCTATTCAGTTTAAACTGCAGCTTTCTTTGGCCACAGACATTTCCTCATTTCACCAAGTAACCACTGCCATTCTTTTGCCACATCACTGTTTTGATTTTTTTTTTCTTATGACCAGATAAAACATACTCTTTTAAAAGAATTATTCCTTCATCTCTTGGGAGTCCCAAAATTAAATGCTCCCACCACAAAATCATGAGCCTTTCATGTTTATAGTTTGGTAACTGAAACCATAAGATTGGATAAAAGGGCTATGAACATATCCTAACGTGTCTAGCACAACATAGCAAACAACAAATGTTTAGTGAACTTCTTTATTAAATTTTCTAGCAAGAGAACAGACAGGGCTATATATTCAAAGGCAAAAGATAAGAGATTATATATATCCTCATCAAGGTAATATTCTAGAATCTGCTTTTCCTATTTACCACTGATAGCAATGTAAAAATTCTGTACCTTAAAAAATACATTCATGTTTCAGTACTTTTGTGAGGGAGAAAACAGGATCAGAATATTCTTTGCTTTTAAATAATTTTCATTGGTTCCTATTAACTCACCCTGTTGATCAGCATCAGCAGTTCGTGAAACAAGTGCACTAACAGCTGGAAATGTAATGCTAGACATGGCTGCTACTGCTCCAGCAGCCCACATCATCCTGTAATTAAAGCAGTAAAACAAAAGTGAGTCTTTTCCACTGTACCTGTCAAAATTAAAATACATACTTAAAAATCAAGTCAGTACAGGGAAAAGAATGATCCTATTCCTTCCTAAGTGACTGAGAAAATCTCTTAAAAGTCTAACCCTGTTTATATAGTCTCAAAAAAGAACAATCTCTCGGGCCGGGGTTGTGACTCAGTGGTAGAACGCTTGCTGAGCATGTATGAAGCACTGGGTTCGATCCCAGCACCACATAAGAAAAATAATCAAAATAAAGGTATTGTGTCCATCTACAACTAAAAAAAAGAATAGTCTCTTACAAAAATAGTGTAAGGTTTTAAAATAAAATTGGGATATCATGTTCCAAACTAAAGTGTGTCAGACATTATTTCTGCAGGAATTTGAGAAGTTATGTTGAGGACAATGTATAATACAGATAAATAAATATCATCAGATGCTTCTAAATGTGTGAAGTGAGCAAGTCTTCATCAGAGTTCCCATGGACTTGTTACTCAGTATAAAGACATCACTGATTTTATCTAATTCTTAACTTGTAAAGAAAGTAGCCTGGATGCTTCTGGCTTGATATTTAAAAGCAATGTCTCAGATCAGT